GCAAACTATGGGAAACCCTAAGAAACCTTAAACCTAAATTTGTTCTAAATATAGAAGACATCTCCTCCTCTATTCTTTATACATCTCTCCCTTCTCTCTCTTATCTATTCTCTCTCTCTCTCTCAAAGGGGCATGCCCTGCTCTCTCTCCTCTCTCTCTCTCCAGACCTCTCTCTCTCCTAGTCCATCTTTAGAGGGGCACGCCCCAATCCTAGGCTACTTCCTAATTCTCTCTCTCATCTTGATTAAACCTAAGGGTTGGGTAGTAGAGGATATACTAAACTAGGTCTTGGGGGTTAGCACCTAGGTTCAAAGCTTGATGATTAAAAGGGAGTTCTAAAAAGGTTCTATAGAACAGTTTGACCTAAAAATGCTTTCTCGGTTGAGATTGAAGTTTGATCGTTGATCCCGCACTATTGAATGGTGGTGTCTCGGTGTGGAGTGTAATAAGCCCGATTAAGGTAATCTCCGACACTCTCTACTTTTATTTCTTACAATTTTATCTTTATATTATCAAGCATAAGAAATAATTATTTCAATGGTATCAAGTTTCAAGATATTGGTTTTATTGTTTTGTCGATTTTATTTTGAAGTATATGTTATTGTAATAAGACCACTTGTAAGTGATCTTTTGCAAAAATAAAAGGCATGAAAAAAAAAAAAAAAGTATATATATATATATATATATATATATATATATATATATATTATTCCCCATCAAAAGATCACATTGGTCTTTTTTTTCAAACCAGATGTTTTTAGATATGCGACGGACATAATAGTTGATTTTTCTTCAAAAGCTATTTACTCTTGATGATAGTCTAAGTTGTGACCCTACTAATGAAAATCTGATGTAATCAAAAGCAACAACAATTATTATTACATGAAGAGTATATAGAAGCAAAAATCAAGACATGCTTGATTGAAGAATAGAGATTCTAATACAAAATTCTTTCATTTATCCACCATTATTATTAGGATGAATGATATGATTACTTTAGTCAAAGACTAAAATGGGGAATCTATTTCTTTTTAAAAGCAAATTGAGGATCATATAATTGGTTTTTTTTTTGAGGATTTGCATGCACAAGAAAGTAATATAGGGTTTGAGTTGGTTGATCAGTTTCTTCCATCTTTAACGCTAACCAACAAGTGCAACTTATAAATGACATCTCTTTTGAAGAAATTAAACTTATATTTAGGGTATGAAGAGTGAGAGTGCTTTAAGTCTAAATGGCTTTACAGTGAAATTCTATAAATTTAATTAGGAGGTGATCATAAAAGACCTTTTTTAGCTCTACATGAATTTTTTAAAAAAGCTAAATTTCTAAAAATATATAGACTCTATTTTCATTTGCCTTATTCTTAAAGTAAATTCGCCCAGTATTATAAAGGAGTTTAAACCCACCGGCTTATGCAATGTCGTCTATAACATCATCGGCAAGATCATCTCTAATCACTTGAGGGAGATCTTGGGTATTCTTATTGATTCTAGACAAGCGATATTTCTCAAGGGAAGACTCGTCACAAACAATAGATTATTTCTCTGTTACAAGAAGTCGGCCAAACTTAAGATGTGCATCCAGCTTGATTTGAGTAGTGCTTAAGATCGGGTATCTTAGAGTTTCGTACTTGTTAGGTTATATGCTCTGGGCTTCCCATGGATTCGGCAATGCATTAACACTCCCTCTTTTTTGGTACTTCATCGTGGCTCTTCAAAAGGATTTTTGAGAGATAAAAGGGATTTACACAGGGTGACCTTTTACCCCATATTTTTTTTTGCTTGTTATGGATTTATTAAGCAGAAAATTGGATTACATGGTTTCACAAGGTATGCTTCCCATGGCTTGCCCTTCTAGTTGTAATTATAGGGTTTCACTTCTTTTTTATGAGGACGATGCCATTATTTTTTATGATGCATGTAATACAGCTATTATAACCAGGAAATCTATTCTATAGATTTAACCATAAAATCTATTCTATTGATTTTTGGAAAGACCACAGAGCATAAATTAAATGTATCCAAAAGTAAGGCACTTTTCTTTGGGGTTTCACAAAGCTCTAAGCATTTGATTTTAAAGAATAGGGTTTTGTTGAAGGATCTCTTCTGGTTAGGTACTTGGGGCTACCTCTTTTCTAAGGAAACATAATCATTGTCATAGTTTGGTTGGGAAATTTATTGGTAAAATAAGGACTAGGCACTTTGTCCTTAGTTTATACTTGTCGTTTGCCGTTGTTGAAATCAGTTCTTGATTTATCGTCTATTATCTAGATTTTATCTCTCTTTTTTCCCAAGCGCGCATGCAAATATGATAGAGAGATTGCAACAAAATTTTCTATGGGCAATCACAGTTGGCGAGAAAGGGCTTCATCTAGTGAAGTGAAAAATTGTATGCCTCATGCTGGACGAGGGGAAGCTTGGGCTCCATGATATTTCTGAATTCAATACTGCGGACATGATGAAGTTAGCATGGATAATCCTGACTAATCCTTCCTTTCTAATAGCTAGTTTCTTTAAGCACAAGTACTTTAAGAATTCATCTATTTGCGAAGCACACATGAAGGAAGGAAATACACTTGGAGCTATCTTTCTTGTATCGCAATATCATAAGGTTATTATACAATTGCCCTATAGTAGGGTTGTAAAATTATGAGCTATAATCGAATTTTATTTTTATTAATGAAAAATGAATAGGGGACTTTCTCCCCCACAGATTTACCCAAAAATAAAAAATAAAAATTCCTAAAGGCTTCCTCCTATTCCAAATCTCTTGAATATATCTCAAAATGCCATTGTGAAGCCTCAAGCTCTATTTTTCCAACCTAACAAAATTTACTCTCTCTCTCTCTCTAACAACCCCAAAATCTCAAAAACGTACATATCCCAAGTCTTTGAACTTTTTTTTGAAGCGAAAGCTAATAAAATAATGGTGTCTTAACTTTTTAAAATAATAATAATAATAATAATAATGTCTTTTGGGAGCCCAACACTTTCTGCTCTCTTACACTCAACCACCCTATCAAAGACCCTCGCAATCTCCCCTAACTCTTTTGATAGCAATAACAACAAACCAATGGTGGTAGCAACCCCATATCCTAGTCAGTATGTTGCGGTTTTATTCCATAACATCACCCCACTAACACGTTAAAAAAAACTAGCTCCTAAACTATTACAATGGCTTCCATAGCCTAGCGGTAGTGTGTTTGCTTCGGAATCAAAAGGTTGCGAGTTTGATCCACTCTAGGAACTAAAATACTTCTTATAATTACGATTTCCTCAAAAACGAAAAAATAAAACCCAAGTCCCTGTTATATCGATCTTTGATCCCCATTTTCAATCCTTGAACAACAACAAAAACCATAGGGCTTCAGAGAATTTGATAGAAGATATATGAAGATGATAGGTGTTGTTGGCTTCTTTGATTCAAGCTGTGATGCTAATTTTGATTATTTCAAATTTTTTATTCCCATACTTTACCAGAGTTCAGAGGAAATCCTGGTAATTGGCCTGATTTTCCACATAATAATAGGTTTGTTGGATGAATCACGAAACACTTCTTTTTTTTTTCTTTTTTTTTCTTTTTTTATTATTATTATTTTTTTTGTAAATTCACATTTGGCAGTTGAGTTATTTGTTTATCTGGTCATGGAGTTGACAAGTGGATCTATCACATTTGTTTAGTTTTTATCCATGAGCTCTGTTTTATAGGTGCAGTTGACATACGAATGCATCCGTAGCCGTAGAGATAAAGTGCGACTTCAAATTTTATCATAGTATATAATTTTGATGTAAAATGTTTTTAGGATTATTTTAAAATTTATTTTTATATCTAATTATAAAATTTAAAATTTCAAAAATAGTTAAAATCAAGTAGATATATAATCATATGAAACTCTTGAAAATGGACGGTGTAGATAATATGTTGTAAAATGCATTATTTCTGAGACTTAAAATCTTTTTATTTTTCATGATCATACATCTCAATGTTGAGATGATCAATCAAAGGGTTTTTCAACATTAAAACTATTTTTTTTCAATGAAATTTTGAGGTGCAACCATAGTTCTACATTATAAAGTTGCATTCTTATATAAACTTTTTCCCTGTTTTATTGGGTTGAAAAGTGAATTTATCGTTATGGGAGAGAGAGAGCGGTTGAATGGGCACTATATTTTGTCCGGTTTCCCTCTAGGCTATTTTTTCTCTAACCTTTTTTTTTTTTTTTCTTCTTTATTTTTCAAAAAATAAATGTGGACTTTGTTTCTCGTCTTTCTATCGAAGCATTCTCTCTATCAAAACCACGTCAAAGATGTAAAGTATATTTGATTATTATAAAATAAATTATTCAATTTTAAGTTTCATTGGATAAAATAATTTGAGAAATGTTTTTATATTTTTCTTATAGGATAGAAGATCTATG